AATAATATGAATAATAACAATATGAATAATAACAATACATATAATAATAATAATAGTATAATACAATAATAATAATAATAATAATATAATATGTATAATAATAATACATATATAATAATAATGTACTACATATAATAATTATAATAATAGACGGCTTACACAAATAACCCACACATAAAAGAGAGAAGCTTACGACGACGCTTCGCGTGAATTTGTAAATGGTCCAAGTCGGACCGAAACATTGTCGTAAGCTTCTCTCTTTTATGTGCGGGTTATTTGTGTATCGTTCCAGTCACGGTATTGTGCCTTTTTTTATTATAGATGGCTTCAAAAGGTCGTCACTAGATGGCAGTGTTTACCACAACAAAGAGGGAGCGGTTGTGGCTGCCTCCACCTGTTGCATAATGACATATTTTATTCATTCTAGAGTATATATCGTGTTTCTATGTTATTTATATTCTCTGTTATGTCATATTAGATGAACTGTGATATATAAATAAGCCGTATAGATGATATTAGCGAAATTATTCATGAAGAATTTTGCCCGGTGTCCAGACAAACTCTCGTGCACCTGCCGACACCGCCCATACCACTACATGAATGACATATTTTATTCATTCTAGAGTATATATCATGTTTCTATGTTATTCATATTGTTTATGTCATACTAAATGAATTGTGATAGATAAATAAGCAGTATAAATGATATCAGCGAAATTATTCATTAAGTATTTTGCCCAGTCTCCAGACAAACTCTCATCCACCGCCGACACCGCCCATACCACTACATGAATGACATTTTATTCATTCTAGAGTATATATCATGTTTCTATGTTATTCATATTGTTTATGTCATACTAAATGAATTGTGATAGATAAATAAGCAGTATAAATGATATCAGCGAAATTATTCATTAAGTATTTTGCCCAGTCTCCAGACAAACTCTCATCCACCGCCGACACCGCCCATACCACTACATGAATGACATTTTATTCATTTTAGAGTATATATCAGGTTTCTATGTTATTTATATTGTTTATTATGTCATATTAGATGAAGCGAGATAGATAAATAAGCTTGATATTAGCGAAATTATTTAAGTACAGAATTCCACTCGAACGGATTAATTGCATTTCAATTAATTTAAATGAGGAGAACTGATTCTGCAAACAAGCAAATCCAGTTGTGAGCAAGGTCATGGAACGGAGTAAACTCACAAGTAGAGGTTCCACTGTATTGAGTAACAGTAAATCTTCTATTTTTTTTTGTGTGTGTGAATACAAATTCATTATGTGAATAAAAAATCAAAATGGAATTTATTTGTAAAGCCTGAAAACATAACTAATAAACAGAGGAAATGTTAGTTTAGTGCCAGGAATGTCTGCATTGTTTATTCTGGACCCTATTTTGAAATTGAAATATTTTGAACTCTGTGTGAAATTGGCCAAATTACCAATTTCCGATCACTTTACTGGGTAGTTGATATAGTTGATTGGGAAACTTCTTGTGCTCAATATATAAAATAGAAGTAATACTGGTGAAATAGCTAAGAATTTGGTCAACTGGAATAATGTAATTGGCCTAAAATTAGAGTCAGAGCGAGCAAAATCGCCGATGCGTAATTTCATCAATTTTCCATCAAATTTCATACTTTTTGTTTTATTACCTACAAAAAAAGATTCACTTCCATTACATAAATAAAAATAAAAAAAATTTTTTTTTGAAAATTCTTGGACCCAGTTGGACAAGTTTCAGATCGGGGGTGTGGACCCTGAAAGGGTTAACGACGGCGTTCCGTTCCTAAGACCTCATCTGTAAACGAATTTGTCGATAAGTGAGAAGCATACTATAATGGTAATGGGCTTGTGTCAACCATTTTTTATACTGTTTTAATGTCACCTTTGCACCATTTATAACATTTATGATGTATTTTTAAATTTTTATACAGCAGTGTAATATATATTGTAATAAACAGAATAGAGGAAATCAGCTCTAATATACCTTATTTAGGTATGCATACTGGTCAGAGCCCATCATAAGTGAGTCATCAGTAAATGAGTACATGTATGTCGCTAAGTGAGGAGAGGCTGCATAATGTTTTAGACATATTTGAAGTTGAAAGAAATGTTCAGCATTATTAATTGTTACTAAGATCACACGAGGGAAAGGAGTGCTTTTTTAAAGGAGCTTTGAAGCTGCTGGCATAGAGAAAGGCTCTGGAGTTATCAGGAAGGGAGTTCTAGATTTTGGGTCCTTTTATACACATCAAGTTTTTACAAAGGTTAAGCCAGACAAGGGAAATATCATTGATTTCTGTGTCTTGTATTATAACCATGAGTTTTGCTTCAGGTCAGGATTGATATTAAAGTTTATTGTCCTGTATATGTAGTAAGAACAGTAATATGAGTGAATGTTATGCATATTAGTAGGTTTAGGCTTTGGAAAAGTTGGGGAGTGTGTTGTCTGGTAGTAGAAAGAGTTATCACTTGCACACCTTCTTGCTGCATTATTAACCCTTTGAGGGTCAACAGGCCCTCTCCGAAACGTGTTCTCAGGGTCGGCCAAATTTCAAAAAAAAAAAAAAATATTTTTTCTTATTGAAAGATAGAGAATCTTTTCCCGATCATAATGACACCAAAAGTAAGAAATTTGATGGAAAACTTACGGAATTATGCTCTTGCGAAGTTAGCGGTCTCGGCGATGTTTACGCATCGGCAATTTTGCCCAATTTGTGCCCCATTTTCGGCCAATTCCACTGTACTAGTCGACAAAAAAACATGAATATTTCGCTAGAACTCCATTTTTTCTATTGAATGAGTGCAAGAAAGCACCCATTTACCAATTTCAACTATCCAGTACAGTGGTCAGAATTTAGCAATTTTGCCAATTTCACACAAATTTCAAAAGATGCCAATTTCCGAATAGGGTCCAGAATAAACAAGAAAGACATTCCTGGCACTAAAATGACATTTCCTCTGTTCATTAGTCATGTCTCAAGGCCCCTCTTACATGCTTTTGCTTTCCACTTTGAATTTTTATTCTCACAAAAAATAGATTTACTGTTATGCAGACTACTGCATTTGTGTAAAAAATGGTATAAATAATATTGGTGCACTTGCGAAAGAATATTAGACTCACCAGTTGATGTGTAGTGGACGCTTGGCATGATTTGTTTACTTTTGAACTTTGGTAAAAATTTAACATTTCTGCTACTTTGAGCTCAATTTCAAGGTACTTTTCATTGTAAAACCAGTCAAAATCATCTCAGTTTCTGTAATATGTCTTCCATTCTATAAAATGAGACCAAGAAAACTAGAATACAACAATAAATACCATACGAAAATACTGTGCAAAGTCGCTGTTTTATTCCAAAAAAATGGTCGAAGTTTTTTTTTCTCATTATGCACTGTGAGCTGCAGGATTTTTCTTATACTGTGCACACTCACCACATAGACGCATTCTTTCATATGTAGGCCTACCAGCTTTCTCTCACTAGATTTGAGGGCGCTAGAATTTAGGCGTACTAGTACGTCAAAAACCCTGGGTCGTAAGCCGTACTAGTACGGCCGAAACCCTCAAAGGGTTAATGACTCAAGGCGATTTGCTGTTTACCTGGAGTTTACCTGGAGAGAGTTCTGGGGGTCAACGCCCCCGCGGCCCGGTCTGTGACCAGGCCTCCTGGTGGATCAGAGCCTGATCAACCAGGCTGTTGCTGCCAGGCACAAATAGCATAAGAAAGGCAGGGCTAGATTAGGGAGTAGCATAATGTGAGTAGCGCCATTTGAGGTATACAGTAGAGAATATGCCAACTGTTTAGAACATTTTTTTTGTAAAGCACAGGTAAGGAGACTGGCGCTATATAGACGCCTGACTGACATTTTTTTTGTAATGTGTTGGAAGTTGATGTTGAATTTCAGGGAACAGACCTAAGAATTTTCCTTCATTTTGTTTGGTTTTTAAGTTATTGTGTTAAATGGTTCTTATTGTTAAAAACTGTATCTAAAAATAGTTATTTATTTAACTGGAGAAAAACTTCATTTTTCTTTTTGTTCTATACTGAGCTTCACCTTTAATCTTCTTTCACATTTGCATGCTAGTTATATTCAATGGAATTATTTTTATTGTCTCTCTCTTTTTAATGTCTTTGTATACACAGATGTACAACATTTATTAAATTCTACCATTTTGGGATTTTGTTTTCCAAAAATGCTCTACACAACCATAGCTTTTCATGGGTACTAATAAATATCTAATCTTGTAAGAAGCACATTATCGTGCGGAAATAATTATTTATTTAATTGAATTTTACTCGGTTTGAAGGAATTCTGATACTCCATACTCAAATAACCCGCACGTAGACGAGAGGAGCTTATGAGGACATTTCAGTCAGACTTGCACCGAGTCCAAGTTGGACTGAAACGTCGTCGTAAGCTCCTCTCTTCGATGTGCGGTTATTTGTGTATTGTTCCAGACACAGTACTGTGCCTTTTTAAGTTACTCCACTCTCAGTTATCCAAGTGTTCTGGATATGGGCCTGCCAACAGTCCTGGTAAGCTTTAGTTGGAAGCAAGCAGAAGTGATTAACATTAAGGGTTACTATCCCAGGATAACCTGGGTTACTAACCCAGGATAACCTGGGTTACTCACCCAGGAAAACCTGGGTTACTTACCCAGGAAAACCTGGGTTACTTACCCAGGATAACCTGGGTTATTAACCAAGGATAACCTGGGTTACTAAACCAGGATAACCTGGGTTAGTAACCCAGGATAACCTGGGTTAGTAACCCAGGATAACCTGGGTTACTAACCCAGTGGAAATAAATAACTCTTGACAGTTTTTTGGGTTATCTTGGTGGGTAATTTACACACATGTTAAATTATGTATAATAACTCTACATAAATAAACTTACTCAGGAAGAGAAAAAAATTACTTTGTTATAACAGAATCCCCCCGCCACCCCCCCCCCCGGCCAGAAAAAAAAAAAATGTCACATTGTACCTGAGGTGTTAGTAGATCCTTCTGCTTTTCCTCTTCTTGTTGAGGATAGACTTAGTTTACCTAGAAGTTACTGTTGATGATGCAGGTTGCAAATGCTGCATCAATGTTGCAACTGTTGTTGTTGTTGTAACTGTTGTTGTTGTTGTTGTAACTGTTGTTGTTGTTGTTGTAACTGTTGTTGTTGTTGTAACTGTTGTTGTTGTTGCAACTGTTGTTGTTGCAACTGTTGTTGTTGTTGTTGCAACTGTTGTTGCAACTGTTGTTGCAACTGTTGTTGTTGTTGCAACTGTTGTTGTTGCAACTGTTGTTGTTGTGGTTGCAACTGTTGTTGTTGCAACTGTTGTTGTTGTTGTTGCAACTGTTGTGGTTGCAACTGTTGTTGCAACTGTTGTTGTTGCAACTGTTGTTGTTGCAACTGTTGTTGTTGCAACTGTTGTAACTGTTGTTGTGGTTGCAACTGTTGTTGTTGTTGCAACTGTTGCAAGTGTTGTTGTTGTTGTTGTTGTTTGAGGTGGCAGTAAAAGTTGGAGGTGCAGCAGTTGTGTGTCAGTCCCTGGGGAAGGTAATGGTGTGTTAATACTGGGAAGGAACTGCAAAAGAAAGATTATTATTATTATTATTATAATCAAGAGGGAAGCGCTAAACCCGTAAGATTATACAGCGTCAGAGGGGAGTGGGTTGTGGAAGGCATTCAGGCTTAATTCAGGGAACTGGAGCACAGATCCAATTCCCTAAATCAAGAGCCCCTCACTAACATCAAGGACCCTTCCCTGAGGGGTGTGATGGAGAGAAGCTGGAGCGAAATGTTGCTAGTTGTGTGATAGCGTCAGCACCGGCGCTGACTCCCGCCAACACTGTCAGCAACACCAGCTTCTCTGACTTAGGTTGTTTACAGCTGGGAGGTAAGCTGATGTATGGCGGCTTAGTTAAGCTCTATATCACTAATACAAGCTTACCAGGATGATAGTGGGGGAAATGTGTCGCTGATGATGGTGAGATGAGCGAGACGTCTCACCTCTCCTTCTACTTGGGTTTATAAGGGCTGGTGACGGCTCACCCAGGATCCACCACTGCCTCTCCTCTCTTTATTTAACTATAAATACATATTAATTAATGTAAACTTTGTGTTATTATGTACTGTAGTGCGATAAAATTACTGAATTCAGAGACAATTCACTCAGAAATATTCAAGAAATGTCAAGGTATTTTATCCACAGTGTTATACTACAAATCATTTTGCAAAAATACCCAGACTGTTCACTGTAAATAAAGCATTAACACTTTTTTATGTGTATATGACCTAATTCATGAGAAAGTTCTCTCCGACCCTTGGAGTTAATGCAAAATGAAGCTCTCAGGATTATTCTTGGCTGTCCCAGATCTACAAAAGTTCTTAACATGAGGAAGGAGCTTGGTATTTCTAGTATCAGTGATAGGATTGTTGAAATTAACACTGTACTCGGTATTAGAATGTTGAGAAACGAACCAGACACTATCATAGTGAATCTTACCAAGTGTCTAGAGGTAAATACACACAGATCTAAATGGATTGTGAAAACGTGCAATTGCATTAAGTTTTATAACCTGCATGAACTGTATCACTGTAGGCAACAAGAGCATTTCACCCCTCCATGGAAGATGTGTTCATTTAATATCACATACCTACAAGTCCCTCCCAAGAAGCTCATTGCTAGTAATCCCTTCCTTAAATCTCTTGTTAGAGTAGGTGGCCCGGTAGCTAAAGCTCCCGCTTCACACACGGAGGGCCCGGGTTCGATTCCCGGCGGGTGGAAACATTTCGACACGTTTCCTTACACCTGTTGTCCTGTTCACCTAGCAGCAAATAGGTACCTGGGTGTTAGTCGACTGGTGTGGGTCGCATCCTGGGGGACAAGATTAAGGACCCCAATGGAAATAAGTTAAACAGTCCTCGATGACGCACTGACTTTCTTGGGTTATCCTGGGTGGCTAACCCTCCGGGGTTAAAAATCCGAACGAAATCTTATCTTAACTGCTCAAGAAGAAATTTCTCACCTAGCTGGTAGTAATAAGTTATCACAAGTTATATACACTGATGGATCTAAACAGGAGTCTTCTGGCAGGGCTGCATCTGCTCTTGTTGCCACCTCCCTAGTTAAGAACGATATAAATTTGTTGAGTTAGGCATAAGAATTAACAACTGGGCGTCTACACTGCAAACTGAATTGTTTGCAATCCTAATGGCGCTAAAGCTAACCTATGACACTGAGCTTGACTCTATCATCATTACTGATTCTATGTCATCATTGAAGGCTCTTGACTCATATAATGACTCCAACATGTTCATTGGGGAAGCCAGGTATAGATACTCAAAAATTAGGGACAAAGGAATTAATGTACAATTGCTATGGATCCCATCACACATTGGATTACTCCTTCATGATAAAGTTGATATGTTAGCCAAGAAGAGTACACACAAGGAGAATGTAGAATATAACTTTGGTATAACTGTGTCTAGCATTAGGAATAATATTAGGAGAGAAGTAAATAATGAAAATGATTGTTATAGGAATGCAGTTACAAGCCTGAGTAGATCTATAACCCACTATGATAACATGAACGTAGATAAGTATGTTTATGGAGCAACGTGCAATGTGAACAGACTGACTGATGTTGTAGTGGCCAGGCTTAGGCTTGGTTACAAGTACTTCTGGCAGTTTGGGAGATACACAGATGATGATCAAACTAAATGTAAATTATGTGATCAGGCATATGGTCACTCTCTTGAACACTATGTGCTTAATTGTCCACTTATTGAGGAATACAGAGACAGACAGTATAATAACCTATGTGACATGTCAAGATATCTTATTAATGAAAATAAGATACCAGATATACTAAGCAAATTTCCTAAATTTTCTTGTAACAGATAAGTGAACTATAGATATGTAGATACAAATCCATATGTATTCCTGTTAACCCTTTGGGGCCTAGTTCCTAGGCCTTTTGTGTATCCATATGCTCTCGCGCTACCGTCCACAGGATGGATATGGGGTGCACAATAAACTAGCCACTTCGGTGGCAAAATCTAAAAATCATGTCTGCATACATAAAGCACTAAGACTGTGACCAGATATAAACATGTAAATAGTTCATTACCACTGTGAGTGGTTCAGTTATCAAAACTTTTCTGTCCAGTCTCTGTGCTTATTATGTACCTCTGCAATATTTTTGACTTCCACCCACACCATGGGTATGGTGTGACTTCCACCCACACCATGGGTATGGTGTACATAATAAAGATGTTAAACTACACATAAATACAGTTACACAAATTATCATACAGAGCAACATGTGTAAATTACCCAGGATAAACCTAAATATCAATGTGACTCATTTCCATACGGATCTTTGTAATATCTTATCCTTTAAACCTTAAGAGTTAAAACAGAAGCAGATATACTGCACAAGGCTAAATCATAAAAGAACAGAGAACAGGAGTACCTATGTAAATATAAACAGTCTCAAATTTCAGGCACACACACAGCAAATTTCCAAGAAAGTCTCCAAAACAGTAGGTATCCTTTCAAAGATACGGTACTGTGTACCCCAGTCAGTTCTAGTTTTGTACCACTCTCTCATTTCCTCTTACCTCACCTATGGTATTTGTGCATGGGGGCTCAACCACAGCAAATCACCTTAAGCCTTTAATAACCCAACAAAAAGCTGCAGTGCGACTGATTACTAACTCCTGCATTAGACAACACACTCCACCTCTTTTCAAGAGTCTTAACTTGCTAAATATACAAAACATCCACAGTAGCAGTAAAGATCGAGAACTAAAATTTAGTCATTGTGGTAGTTTACAAGCCTCCGGATGCAACGTCCCAACAATTCCAGGAACAGCGTCTGGAAAATCTTCCAGCTCCTCCTCCCAACATTTTGCTCCTGGGGGATTTCAACTTAAGGCACATAAAATGGAGGAATATAGCAAATAATGTTGTTGCAGTGATAACACCAGGAGGCAGCTCTGACGAGAACTCACACACACACACACACGAGCTTTTAAATCTCTGCACAAAATTCAACTTAAACCAGCAAATAATAGAGCCTACTAGATTGGAGAATACACTAGACCTCATCTTCACTAACAATGATGATATGATACGAAATGTCACCATATCAAAAGCAATATACTCAGATCACAACATAATCACAACAATAAGGGTTGAGGCCTCGACCGTTCGTCATAGTAGGAGCTGTCAGCAATCACCGGTTCTCCAGCAAGGAAGTTATACTTTTGTATCAATCTAATCACATATTACTCGGTTAAATAATTTCCCAATGGTTCCTTCAAGTGTTAGTCCCAAATCACCGACCGGATATGTTTAAATAAGTGATCCACAAATCAGATCCGACTGATTCCGAACCCATGACCGGTTTCAATCGGATTCGTTGGACAATAAGGACTATAAACCGGACTATGAACAGACGAAGTTTTAGGCGCCCTTATCAAACACACAACCTAACTACTAAATAACAAAAAAAAAAAAAAAAGCACAATACCGTGACTGTAACGATACACAAATAACCCGCGCATAGAAGAGAGAAGCTTACGAAGACGTTTCGGTCCGACTTGGACCATTTACAAAGTCACTTTAGTAACTACTAAAGCAGTAACTACTAGAGCAGTAAGCTTGTCCAAATATACATGTACAAATACAAACAGAAATACTAATAGCCAGATCTTCACTTTAAGGAGGTTATTAGTAGAATATTCAAGAGGTTATTAGTAGAATTACAGTAAATCAGCCAGAGTAGAAACATTGGGCGTGTTTCTTTCCACCTGTTGTCTATGTTCCCCATCAGTAAAATGGGTACCTGGGTGTTAGTCGACTGGTGTGGGTCGCATCCTGGGACACTGACCTAGTTTGCCCGAAATGCTGAGCATAACAAGGGGATTTCTATATAGTAGTATGTCACTGATGTCAGCTAGGATTGTATACCATGTACATGTACTTGTAGTAAATAAAGATATTATTATTATTATAATTATGAAATCCTGTGTAGTCTGCATGGATTGCATGGATTGCATGCCACCTTTGTGGAAATTGGGCTCACCCCCCTTGTGCAGATATCCAAGAATTATCTACAAGAGGTATTAAATCAGGGAAGTGTTTTTTGGTATGCCCAAATGAGATCAATCTGTGGACTAAAATCACATTGGTATTAAAAGAGGGTAACTTCCAAGCAGCC